TGGGTACGGTGGCTCACGCCTGTAATCCCAGCACTTTGGGAGGCCAAAGCGGGCGGATCACGAGGTCAAGAGATGGAGACCGCTTGGTGAAACCCCGTCTCTACTAAAGGTACAAAAATTAGCTGGGCCTGGTGTTGCGCGCCTATGATCCCAGCTACTCAAGAGGCAGAGGCAGGAGAATCGCTTGAACCGAGGCGGCGGAGGTTGCAGTGAGAGGAGATGGCGCCATTGCACTCCAGCCTGGGCGAAAGAGCAAGACTCCGTCTCAAAAAAAAAGAAAGTTGAAAAATGTTTCAAATGGTGCAAGTAGGCTTAAGAAGTCCATCCCAGATGACAGAACAGCAACAAAGGCATGCAAAAGATCCACCACCGTACCTACACCAATCATGTAAATTATTCATAGTATATGTAAGTCTTAAACCACAACTTTAAGAGTAAAAAAACTAAGTTTACTTCAAACAGGTTACTCAGGAAATGGAGCTATCAAATCCTTCCTGTGACATTATGCCCCTACTAAAATAAATAACAAGCAAATATAATGTAACACAAAGAAAAAAACTTCAAAAATCAAACCTATCAGGAGCAACGCAAACTTACAGGATGCTTAGAATGTCAACCATTGTTCTTAGAATGTCAACCACTGGTCTAAGTACCTCACACATATTAACTCAATCTTCTCAACTCTATGAAGTTGACTGTCCCCTTACACAGATGAAGAAACTAAAACACATGAAGGCCGGGCGTGGTGGCTCATGCCTGTAATCCCAGCACTTTGGGAGGCCGAGGCGGGCAGATTGCCTAAGGTCAGCAGTTCGAGACCAGCCTGGCCAACATGGTGAAACTCCACCTTTACTAAAAATACAAAAATTAGCCAGGAGTGGTGGCGGACACCTGTAATCCCAGCTACTCAGGAGGCTGAGGCAGGAGAATTACCTGACTCCAGGAGGTAGAGGCTGCAATGAGCCGAGATCGCACCACTGCACTCCAGCCTGGGCAACAGAGTAAAACTCTATCTCAAAAAAATAAAATATAATAAAAATCTAAAAAATAAATAAAACGCATGAGGAGCTACTACCCCAACATCACAGCTAGTAAGGGATAGAGCCTGAGTTTGAACTCACTGTAACCACTATGCTACAACACAAAGATTTCAATGATTTTTCCTACACTAGTTTTTTGTTTGTTTTTGAGAGGGTGTCTCCCTCTATCACCCAGGGTGGAGTGCAATAGCATGATCTTGGCTCACTGCAACCTCCACCTCCCAGGTTCTCCCAGATTCTCCCACCTCAGGCTCCCGAGTAGCTGGGACTATTGGCACCCGCCACCATGCCTGGCTAATTTTTGTATTTTTAGTAGAGACGTAGAAGACGGGGTTTCACCATGTTGGCCAAGATGGTCTCAATCTCTTGACCTCGTGATCTGCCCGCCTCAGCCTTCCAAAGTGCTGGGATTACAGGAGTGAGCCACCGTGCCCAGGAGGACTGCATCTTATTAAATAGTGCTAGGGAGTTCAACACAATGATATGAGTTCTATGAATTTCATTTAACCAAGCAATCACCTGACCCAGTTAGTACAGTTGCTCAACTATAGATCATAAACTTGATCAGAAACACAAGGTTTTGGAAGGATATCTACACAGATCAAGACTAACAAAACAGATGGGAAAAATTCCGCAGATTCAGTCATCTAAGACAGACCCAGGTTTGAATCCTAGTGTTCATTTAATCATTTTGTGGCCTTGAACAAGTGAATTAACTTCTTTGCACCTCTGTTTCATCATCCACAAAAAAAGCCCAACACTATCTACCTCATAGGATCAGCCTGGGGTATAAACGGCATAGAAAGCACCTCACACCTCCTAGAGCATAGCCCCGAGCACCTAGTCCCTCTCCTCTGGCTCTATGGTAACAGGGGAATTAATTGCACTCTTACCGAACCCAATCCCAGAGGGGTAAACAGCCAAATCTCTCCAGTATCAGCTCTCTCACAGAGTCCTTTCTTTTTAACTTCAGGTTTCTATTGGTGGCAGAGCATGAGATACCACCTTGGTGGTACCTAAACTGAACGATACTCAACAATTCTTTACTACACAGCTCTAGGGTCCTAGCCCTCCTCTACCACTAGAATGTCTGAGCATAAAGTATAAATGTCTCATGCTAGCTGCTTTCCTTTTTTGCATTTCAGTGACTTATACTGTAAATGTTGTGAAATGAGTCCAATTCACATGCACTAGAAAAATACAAGTTCTAGTGAATGCCAGTGTTTCTGCCATACCTCTCCCCTGACTTCCTACCATTCCTTCTTCTCTATTCTTTTTATATAAATGACACCAAAATTGAACAAACCCAACAAACTATTTCAACCAACTTCATCAAAATGTGTCAGGTCAGAAATTCTTTGTAACAGTACTGCTACAAATTGTACAAACAAGGGAGATTCCTTTGTCACCTACTCGTCTGACAAGGTTGTATGTATACTGCACTGATGGATTTAATCAACAGGTTGATGTTCAAAAGGTCTAGTAATGTATTTCCTTTTATCAGTAACCCCTATGTTCATATTATCTTCTGCCCTTTCTACATGTTAGCTTGAAAGGCTCCTAGAACACAGGAAGCAGTTAGCTCTAGTTCTTTCGGGAGACTAGTGTCACGATAATCATGCAAAACCTTTAATTAGGTGTCGAGAATACAAATATCAAAAAGATTCTTGGACATACGTATTAAAATGCTTGACACTTCTTTGAAGCAACCAACGCAAAAACATCATCTCTGTAAGGGGCCACTCCATTTACCACCAGTGTCTCCCACATTAATACCCAAAGCTGGTATATGTTAAAAGAAAAATGTCTTATAAACTGACAGTGAGCTTTGCAATAATTTTTATGCCATTAACATGTCACTTTATTGAGTTCCTTAACACTAAGAAAAACTTTTCCCAGGCACGTAGTTTTCATCCCACATACAGTTCAGTATTTTTTCTGTACTGCAGGTCTGATTGTAACAACTCAAACGTCAAAAAATAGTTACTTATGAATTTAATGATTGTGATTACGTACATCTCAGTGCAGGATAGGGCTGAAAAAAAAATATTCCAAACAAGAAAACCTGGATTTAATAGCAAGAAGCCTAATCACACATCACACGCCTAACTGCTCTCAGGCATAGTGTCTTCCTGCAGCCCCTCCCCCACAGGTAAACGCTAACTATTTCTAGAACTCTCAACAATTTGGGAAGCTTGCCATCAACTCCCATGACACCACCCAACATACACCATGTTTTCGGGGAGACAAAGGTGCCTCAGACTATAAACTTATTAAAATGGTGAGAACATACAATCCCAGGAAGTCAGCATTACTAAAATACATCAATGTAGCATGGGTCTTATTTTAACAAAAATGAAAATGAATCACACTGGAAAACCCAAACAGTCACTCATTGTTATCTTCAACGTGTAATCGAAATTATTTATTCCAAGTTGTTTCAGGTAAGTGGATGAAGACACCACGAGGGCCTTATTATCATCTAAACTGGAGAAGGAGCCTTTAGGAAAAAAAGGAGGGGGAAGAAGATCACTTAATTACATGAGGTGGGGGGTGGAGAAACCATTCAGTCTTAAAATTCAGACTAAAAATAACCTGTCATTTTCACCCACTACATTTTATTAATAAGCTTGTTTAGATCAGCATACGGTTCCTGTTCGGAAAACAAGAAAGTGAACAGTAAACTTTCCTAAGTCAACTGCAAATCACATAGGTACTAAAACTCTTCACCCCCGGTGCCTGCACAGTCCAAGATTTTAAGTAAACTCCAGACATTGAGAACACCTAATTTCTAACTAGTTTCCAACATTTCTCATCTGTAATCACCAAATTATCTTAGAGACACTTAAGACAATCCAACAAAGAGAGCATTTTTTCAAAGCCACAACCCAAATTTTACATGAAACACACCATTTTCACAACCTAAATTTAATCCCGGTTACCACTGCGAAGTGATGCCTGTTTCAGCAAATTAAGAACTTCCAAAAATACTGAACACGTTAACGCATGGATGGCTTCCCTCGAGCTGCCATTTAAGATTAATATTCCACTTAAATAAAAGTCTGCTTCTGTTCAAAAAATTAAATCGGTTGCAAAGAGGAAGTTACCGAGAAACCACCCTCACAACGTGGCCTTTACACTGTCAGAAAATAACGTGACTCTGTGCCACCCAAAACTTACCAGGAAGCTGACAATAACTTTGCCAATTCTACACTCCTGAACCCAACTTCAAAGAATCTCCACCAAATACCTCCTTAAGACGATAGAAAGCACTAAGTTACAAATAAACACGTCCCGGAGCAAGGCCTGGCTGCCGCGCGCCCCTCCCCCGGCCGGCGCCCCCGCCCCGGACGCGCGGCCCCAACAGCCGCCCGCAGCCCCTAGCACGCCGGCCGGGGTCGCCGCGCCCGGGCCGGGGACGCGCCCGGGGAGGGGAGATTTCCATTGCCGCCCGAGGTTTCACAAAATAGCATACACCGAAAAGCTCCTTCTCCTCTGCTAAAAATAGGCTATAAAGGAGTCGGCCTCATGATGGCTCCTTGATTCAATTTGCTGCAAATCCTTTCCTGAAAGCCTCCCCCCCTCATACACACACGCACAAAAAGGGGGTGTAAATGCACGAAGGGAGGAAGGGGGGGAGAAGGCCGAGGTGCACATTTTCGGGGACAACATAATTAGGGTGAGGATCCCCCGAGACCAGGAAAGGGTAGGGGGTGGGCAGGCACGTGAGCATTTCAAAGAAACCTGAGAGAGGAAAACGGGGGGATGGGGGCGCCCCAAGTGCCCTCCCTGCCTTCCCTCCCCCCACGCAAGCCCAGTTCCCCCAAGGGCCAAGTTGAAAAATGCATGTTCCACTCGCGCCCATCCCCCGCGGCCCAGCGCCCCCGGCCGCCTCTGGCCCGCGCCCCCCGCCCAGGCCCGCGACCGCCCCCACTCCGGGGTCCGGCCCCCAGCACTTACCTGGAAACGGTGGCCTCCAACGCCGCTCCCCCCTCCCGGGAATGGAGGCACTAGGAAATTCCCCTCCTCGCCGCCGCCGCCACCGCCTCCAACCACCCCCAAAATAACCCCTCCGGGGGGTGAGAGGCAATTATAACCCCAGCGAGCGGAGGGCGCGGGGGATGGGCGCCGGGAGGGCGGGGGCGGGGAGCACGGCGCGGGTCCCCAGGTGGCGAGCGGAGGTGCTCCCGCCGCTGGGGGAGGGGCGGGGGCGCACGCGGCCGGCGGCGGGGGGAGGCGGCGCGCGGGGGAAGGGCGCGAGCGGGGAGAGGAATTGAGGCAGAAGGTAAAAGCTGTTACTAAGGGAAAGAGCCAAACGGTTCGGAGCAGCCAACGGCTCAGACACTCAACACTGGGGAGAGAGGAATGGGGACCAGCCAGGCACAAATGAGCTCGCGAGGCCCGCGGCGGCGGCGGCGGCGGCGGCGGCGGCGGCCGCGCAGCAAAACAAACCCGAGCGGCCTGCGCCGGGCGGGCGGGCGAGCGGGCGGGCGCGCGGGGGAGGGGCCGGCGGGGGAGGGGCGCCGCGGACGCGGGGAGGCGGCGGCGGCGCGGCGGGGGGAGCTCCAGCGGCCGCGCTCCTCTCCCTCCCGGCCCGCTCCGGCGGCGCTGGGGGCTGGGCTGTGCGGCGCATTCTTTTTAAAAATCAGGCGAGCCCCGCGGGCACTCAAAGGCGCCTCCGGGCCCCGGGCCGCCCGCCCCGCCCCCACCGCCGCGGGCCGGCCTGAGTGTGCTCGGGTGTGGGCCGCTGGGCCCGAGACGGGTGGGGGCGGGGAGGCCCGCGCGGTGGCCGGGGTGGAGCCGCTGGCGAAGTTTCCCAAGGAGGCCGCGGGCTTCCGCGTGTCCGGGGGGCGGCCCGGCGGCGCTGGGGGCTGGGCGCACACGCGGCGGGCATGTGCGGGAGCGCGGCGCGGCATCATATGGACATTTGTTTGTGAAAATCTCTGTGCACACCTTTGTGTGCGTAAATACATATGGTTCTCGGAAGCGTACCTGGAAAGGTGCTTTATCTGTATTAAGCGACTTTCAAAATGTGATCCAGAGCACGGGATCTGGAGAGAAAACACGCACACAAGAAAGGATTTTTGATACTAAACACAAAGCTGTAATTGAAGTGTTTATGCCCAAATGTACTGTGAATCAAGCATATGGTGGTATTTATCATCTGGTGGGTCTGTTTGAAAGATTTGGTCGATCAGTTCTTATTTCATAAAAATAAAATAATGTAGCTAAATGTTTACTCAACATATACCTCCACGGTGGCATCCACAGTAGAAGTTTATCCACTTTGTATACTTTTTGCATGTGTGAAGCACAGCAAGGCGGTTTATAAAGTGTACCTTTGATAAGTGATAATGTGGGCAGTATGATTGGGGGGGTCGTTTTTAAAGAAGGGAGGCACTTCAGGTTTTAAAGCAAATGGGGTGGTAATCTTTCTAAGACTTTCAGAAAGATGGGGTGGGGCGCTTCTTAGAGCTCTGTATAAGCTCAGGACTGGAGAAGCAGCCACCCTTTTAATTAAGATACGACTTGAAACCTTTTTGTTATTTCGGTTATTACTGCCTTCAAAGCAAAATAATATTTGCAGCTTTTTCTTAAAGGTGAAGGGTACTGTTTTCTTGCTCTCATCACAGTATTTGAAAATAGATGTAGCGATCACTTTAAAGCGACTATCATTTCCTCTCAGTATCAGAAGCCTAAAGTTTTGCCCCACACACACACACACACACACACACACACACACACACACACTACTTGTAACTTGCACCAGTGTGGACTCCTGGTGGCCTAAAAAGTTCAGTGATTAGACAGGTGGTTTCTTGGCTAAGGTCAATGTCTCTTTCCCCCAGGAGCCCTTGCTTGGGGGAGCTGCCAGAGGCCTTTCCTGAATGACCTAGTGGGGCAGGGAGCAGGAAAACCATCAGAGGAAAGGGAGTGGGATTGGAAACTCCCTTCCAACCACCAGAAAGAGAGTTCAAAGCATATCAGTGGTGTGGCCTTAGAGCTATTTTGATGTATGAAAGTGGGAATGTTGGATTAAACAATGTCACCCGATGGGAATTTAGATAACTGCAGGTTTCCAAAACACTATGCAGAGTGTACAGGGAAACCGCACAAAGCAAGTTTTGCATTTCAATAGGCTTCTAAAGCTGAGGCTTGTTTACCTCAAAACTAACACCTTTCAGAAGACTTTATTTCAGAATTGAAAAGAGTATAGTATCTTCCTTTTTTTTTTTTTTTTTGAGTTGATTAATGGCATAGATATCACTAAACATACCCTGTCTTCAATAAATAAACTATCTCGGTGGAGCCACTCAATGAAACATATCTATTGGCTTAGATTATTTTTTAAGTTTCATATTGTGCCACCACGGGCGGGTCTTCTCCATACAGCAGTGACCGTAAAATCAAACCCCACTTTCAGTAAATGAGGACTTCTCAATCATACAGTTCTTAAGCATCATATTCAAAGCTGCCTACCCCACGCTTTCTCCTTCCCCTAAATGACCTCTATCCCTTATTCCACAAGGGAGGAGACACCCTCCTTCAGGTTCAAAGGATCAGGCCTTCCAGCCTGAAGTTCTTATACCCTACACCAAGCTGCCTCCTAAAGTTGTTCAGCCTCCTAACAATGATAATAATGCATGCATTTGTTTATATCCCTATAGTTTACAAGACATTTCTGTGCATAAATGACTGCATTTGAATATCATGAAGATCATCGAGTCTGGGGACTTATAAATTCATTGCAGTAAAATGTACTTTACTCACCGCTGTTGGATCATACTAATTGAGGAGAGAGCAGGAGTACTTTTTTTTTCTTTGAGACCGCGTTTCGCTCTTGTCGCCCAGGTTGGAGTGCAATGGTGGAATCTTGGCTCACTGCAACCTCCGCCTCCCAGGTTCAAGTGATTCTCCTGCCTCAGCCTCCCAAGTAGTTGGGATTACAGGCGTGTGCCACCACGCCCGGCTAATTTTTGTATTTTTAGCAGAGATGGGGTTTCTCCATGTTGGTCAGGCTGGTCTCAAACTCCTGACCTCAGGTGATCTACCCACCTCAGCCTCCCAGTGTTGGGATTGCAGGTGGGAGCCACCATGCCCGGCGACCTGGAGTGCTTTTAAACAAACAAACAAAAAAAATGGAGGCTCCCAAATGTGGAAAGACCTTGATTCCTCCAGCAAAGGGGGTTTTAAATCACATCATATTTTGATCCCTTTGATTTTATATTCTGGAAACTATCTGAAACAACAGTGTGGCTTCAACATTAAATACTCAGAGAAATAAACCATCACTCAGAGATCACATGTATTGTCCCATCACCCTCTAGCTGTCCCAACATATCCAGCATAAAGGATCAGGGCTGCACCAAAATACAAGCAATGATTAGACTCACTGGGTGAGGAAAGGACAAAGAAGGAACTGTTGTTACTAATATTCAATACTATGTCCTAATCTAAAACTCCTATTACGCTTTGAATTAAATGTTAATGTGTTTCTAGAAAGGAGAGATTACTGTGTTACTAACAAATTGCAAAGCAAAGGAACACATTAAGAAGTTCTCTCCTGGGTGCCGTGGCTCACACCTGTAATCCTAGCACTTTGGGAGGCTGAGGCCAGTGGATCACTTGAGGTCACGAGTTCAAGACCAGCCTGGCCAACATGATGAAACTTCATCTGTACTAAAAACGCAAAATGTTAGTCGGGTGTGGTGGCGGGTGCCTGTAATCCCAGCTACTTGGAAGGCTGAGGCAGGAAAATCACTTGAACCCTGGAGGGGAAGGTTGCAGTGAACCGAGATCGCACCACTGCACCCCACCCTGGGAGACAGAGCGAGACTCTGATTCAAAAAAAAAAAAAAAAAAAATGGTTATCTCTTGAACTTTCTAGCTAATTACTTAATGAAGAGAAATTTCATACCAGTAACTGTTATCAGAAGTTACATATGTATTATAAAATGGCTAAACAAATCCTGACTTGTTTTATTTCAGTAATATTTTCCCAAAGGGGTGTGGCATGGCAAGATAGCCTACACCTTTGCAACTTTCATCGCTCAAGACATGAAACATTTTAAAGTTAAGCTGTTTCAATCCCAGGACTACAGAGTCTCATTACTATATGTATTTTTAAATCATCATGATGTTTTAAATTGTTTACATTAGCTCATCTACATAAAGTATTTAAAACAAACTTAACTGTATAAAAAAGACATTTGATACCCAAAATATTCTCCTAGTGCTATAACTCATTTTATATTCTTTACTCACCCTGGAATTCAGTGGCTTTACATCTGTAGCATTTACCCCCAGGCGTCTTGCTGATACCCTGTGATGTTTCCGTTTCATTTTGACTTACCTTGTGCAATTCTTTGTGGTTCTTCTGAGATGAGGCACATGCCAACCACACATCTCAGTACACAAGCTGCTTTTCTCCTTCAATGCATAGCATGTTGCTTGTGACCTTTCCTCATCAGTGTGAACCTTGTCACAGTTTTCCATGCTTCTATGACAACAATAAACTTTACTTGAGAGTCTTCATTTAAATTACAAAAGAAACATACAACTATCTTACAAGTATTTATGCCTCTCAGATAATGAAAATAGCAGGTTGTATCCTGCGATTGTGATTCAGTCAAAACAGAAAACCAACCACACACACAGCATGTTACTGTATAATCACTTACTTATACTGACCAGCCACATACTTCCTCAGGGAAGCACTCAAGGCCTAGTATTATGTTGATGGTTTTGCTCCTCATTCATTCAGTGTTGATTGAATGTGTAGTGTGCCAGGCACTGTTTCAGTGAACCAAAAACAGCCCCTACTCTTCATGAGGCTTACATTCCAGTCCCACATTGGGTGAGGGTTGGGAGCACAAACAGACTTTCAAAAATAGGTCTGTATTAGGCTATTGTTTGACCGCTGTAAAAAAAAAAAAAAATATATATATATATATGGCTTAAACAAGATAAAAGTGTATTATCTTATGTGACTGGCATTCTGGAGTAAGATGCCTTTTTCTTCTCAAGTCATAAAAAGCCACCGGGAGGCTTTGAGCAAAGAAGTGACTTGAACCACGTTTCATTTTAAAGGACCAACTGAGGCTGGGTGTGGTGGCTCACGCCTGTAATCCCAACACTTTAAAAAGCTTAAGTGGGGACCGTGCACAGTGGCTCACACAAGTAATAATCCCAGCACTTTGGGAGGCTAAGGCAGGTGGATCACTTGAGGTCAGGATTTCGAGACCAGCCTGGTCAACATGATGAAACCCCATCTCCACTAATAATACAAAAAAATTAGCCAGGTGTCATGGCACACGTTTGTAACCCCAGCTACTCAGGAGGCTGAGGCTGGAGAATGGCGGGAACCTGGGAGGCAGAGGTTGCAGTGAGCCAAGATCGCGCCATTGCACCCCAGCCTGCGTGACAAGAGCGAAACTCCATCTCAAAAACAAAGAACAACAACAAAATTATTCCAAGATTTTGGACCAAACAAGTAGAAGAATGGAATTGCCATTTACTGAGATAGGAAAGGCTAGAAGAAGACCTAGTTTATGAGGCGACTATCAAGAGTTTTGTTTTAGCGTTTGGTGCGCCCATTATACATCCTCATGATGATGTTAAATAGGTAGCCAGATGTTAAGAGGTGCTACTGGAACAGGAGATAAAACTTTGAGACTCATTAGTAAAGCAGTGATATTTGAAATCATGGACCTGGATGCAATCACCTAGAGAGTGAATATAAGTAAAAAAACATTGAGTTCTCTGTCACCTCAGTTGTCTCCTACCTCAAATGTTTTCTTTCCAGTGCTCTTCTGCTCTTGATGTAGTAAAAAGCCTAAACATATGAAATCATGGGTCAGCATAAGCTGACTTTCTAACCATAAGGACATTGACGGAAACCATAGATAATGCTTTTGTTTTGTTTTGTTTTGTTTTGAGATGGAGTCTCCCTCTGTCACCCAGGCTGGAGTGCAGTGGCACCATCTTGGCTCACTGCAAGCTCTGCTTCCCGGGTTCCCGCCATTCTCCAGCCTCAGCCTCCCAAGTAGGTGGGTCTACAGGCACCTGCCACCACACCCGGCTAATTTTTTGTATTTTTAGTAGAGACGGTGTTTCACCGTGTTAGCTAGGATGGTCTCAATCTCCTGACCTCGTGATCCACCCGCTTCGGCCTCCCAAAGTACTGGGATTACAGGCGTGAGCCACCACATAATGTTATTTGCTACCATTTATTAAGCATGTTGTCAACCCTTTTCAAGGCATATTAATATGTAATTGTCTCTAATTTTCTCAACAACCTGAAAAGGTAATGCCTCAGTCAATTTAGATTGCTGTAACAAAAATACCATAGACTCGGTGGCTTAAAGAACAAACACTTGACCAGGCGCAGTGGCTCACACCTGTAATCCCAGCACTTTGGGAGGCCCAGGTGGACGGATCACCTGAGGTCAGGAGTTTGAGACCAGCCTGGCCAACATGGCAAAACCCCATCTCTACTAAAACTACAAAAATTAGCTGGGCATGGTGGTGCATGCCCGTAATCCCAACTACGTGGGAGGCTGAGGCAGGAGAATTGCTTGAACCCGGGAGGCGGAGGTTGCAGTGAGCTGAGATCGCGCCATTGCACTCTAGCCTGGGCAACAAGAGCAAAACTCCGTCTCAAAAAACCAACCAAACAAAAACAAAACAAAAAAACACACATTTATTTCTCACAGTTCTGGAAATTGGGAAGTCTGATAGCGAAATGCCAGCATGATCAAGTTATGGTGAGGGCCTCTTCCTGGGTGCTGCTGACCATTTTCTTGCTGTGTGTAAGTGGTGTAAAACAGAAAGACAGGAAGCAAGCTCTCTCATGTCTCTTCTTACAAGATTACTAATCCCATCATGTAGGCTGTGATCTAATTACCTTCTGAAGGCCCCACCTCCTAATACCATACCATTTGGGGCTAATGTTTCCATATATGAATTCTGGAGAAGCACAAACATGTAGTCCATAACAGGTAAATAATATTATTATCTTTATTTGATTGATGAAGAAACTGAAGTAATAAGAACACATGGTTTGTCTAAGGTCATGCTGCAAATGGCAAAACAAGGATTTGAACTCAAGGCCAAGTGTAGTATCTGCTTTTCCAATGAATAAAAATAAGCAGATCAAGGCAGGAAAATTCAAGTGTTTGCTAAAAAGTACTTCAATGAATGAGAAGAGCAGAGAAATGCAAAACGGAAAAAAGGAGAAACTGTTTGAGGAGAAGAACCACATCTTAATCACATTTATATGACCCACATTTCTATATAGAATCTAGAAAAATGTTTGCTGAATGCAGGCATAGTTACAATCAATCTGTTGGATTCCATCTGTTGCATGCTTTGATACTATTAGTGTATCTACTGATTACGAAAGGAAGACCTTTGTCTCACTCACTCCCTACCCCTCTTACCATCACTACCCCTGCTGCCTCATGGCAATTTAGATATAGGGTATTCTTTTTTTTTTGTGAGATGGAGTTTCGCTCTTGTTGCCCAGGCTGGAGTACAGTGGCATAATCTCGGCTCACTGCAGCCTCTGCCCCCTCTGGTACAAGCAAGTCTCCTGCCTCAGCCTCCCAAGTTGCTGAGATTACAGGTGCCCGCCACCACACCCAGCTAATTTTTGCATTTTTAGTAGAGAGGAGATTTCACAATGTTGGCCAGGCTGGTCTCAAACTCCTGACCTCAGGTTATCTGTCTGCCTCAGCCTCCCAACATGCTGGGATTACAGGTGTGAGCCACCGTGCCCGGCCCAGGTATAGGGTATTCTGTGTGTGGGGGGTGGGGGCCAGAGGGAGTCTCACTCTGTCGTCAAGGCTGGAGTACAGTGGCATGATCTCGGGTCACTGCACCTTCAACCTTCTGGGTTCAAACAATTCTTCTGCCTCAGGCTCCTGAGTAGCTGGGACTACAGGCACACACCACCATGCCCAGCTAATTTTTTTGTATTTTTGGTAGAGACAGGGTTTCACCATGTGGGCCAGGCTGGTCTTGAACTCCTGAGCTCAGGTGATCCACCCACCTCGGCCTCCCAAAGTGCTGGGGTTACAGGTGTGAACCACTGCACCCAGCCGGTATAGGGTATTCTTGAAGACAGGTTTTGTGGGCAAAGAAGACAATATATAATAATTCCCTTTCATTTATTACAAATTTGAAAACCTAGTTTTCCTTTGAGCTTTGAAATTCAGGATACAAATCTAACTCTCTTTTTTAAGAGAATGTTTGCAATTTGGTTAATTAAATTTCCTTGAATTATTAAACTACATTAATTCATTTAATGTATTCAGTCTTTTTAAAATACTTCAGTTGCTCAACAAACAAAAGAATCACAAGTAGTTAAGTAATGTTCATAAATATGATAAATTATAAAATATTATGAATCAAGTTCTCTTGAACATTACAAAAATGTTTACAGATTTCATAAAATTCTCATATATTTTCACGTAAAATCACGAATCTAAATTACAGTTCTCACTTAGGTGTTTTAAACTGGTTTCACAAGGATAACTTCTTAGAAATCCCAAAATGTCAAATTATGTAAAAGATTACAAATAGTTAAAATACCAAATACAAATATGCACAAGTATTTCTAAACATAAGTGAAAACAGTAGTGGCCATACACAGTGGCTTATACCTGTAATCCCATCACTTTGAGAGGCCGAGGCGGGCAGATCACTTGAGCCCAAGAATTCAAGACCAGCCTGGGCAACATGACGAAATCCCATCTCTACAAAAAAATACTAAAATTAGCTGGCTGTGGTGGTGCATGCCTGTAGCCCCAGCTACTGGGGAGCCTGAGGTGGGAGGATCAATGGAGCCGGGAGGTCGAGGTTATAGTGAGCCATGTTTGTGCCACTACACTCCAGCCTGGGTGCAGAGAGACCCTGTCTGACAAATAAACAAACAAATAAGTAAATACAGTAAGATGATGGGTTTGATTTGTTTTATTTCTTTGACTTTATGCTCTCCTAAGGCTAAAAAAAAATCCTAATGCCTTAAATAAATAATTCTACTGGCCCAGGTGAGCTGAGTTGCTGTCTTAGTCAGTTGGGAGTGCTATCACAAAACACATAAACTAGGTGACTTCTACATAACAAAAATTTATTTCTTCTAGTTCTGGAGGCTGTGAGGTCAAAGATCAAGGCACTGGCAGATTCCGTGTCTAGTCAGGGCCTATTTCCTGGTTAATAGATGGCACCTTTCTGCTGTGTCCTCACATGATAAAAGGGGCAAACAAACTCCCTGGTGCATCTTCTATAAAGGCACTAATCCTATTCATGAGAGCTCCCAAAAGAGCTCCAAGTCTTAATATCATCACCTTGGGGATTAGTATTTCAACATATGGATTTTGGGAGGCTACAC